ACTGGGGGCTGCAGGGTGGCGCAGGTGGTTAGCACCGTTACCTCGCAGCAAGAAGGTCGCCGGTTTGCGTCCCGGTGGGGGCACCGGAATCTTTCTGTGTGGAGTTTGCATGTTCTCCCCGTGCATGTTGAGGTTAATTGGTGATTCTAAATTGTCCGTAGGTGTGAATGTGAGTGTGCTTGGTTGTCTGTCTCTAAGTGTGGCCCCTGCCTTCATTCTAAGTCAGCTGGGATAGACTCCAGCCCCCCATGACCCCACTGAGGATTAAGGTGTAGAGATGATGGATGGATGGATGGATGGATGTCATTGGACAGCTTAGACAGATATAGTTTGCACAACAGTAAAATGCTGGACTGCATTGTTTTGTCGATACTTTCATGTAGAGCGTTCATATTTTAATGAAGATTTCAATTTTGAATGAACATGTAACATATAGAATTTACATACCAATAAATAATTACCAGTCAATTGGTTCATTTTTTTTGCTTTACAGTTTTATTTATTTATTTATTTTCATACTGGTGACTTCTTCCTCAGCTTATATCAAGGTATGGAAATCTGATGTCAACCTGCAAGGAGGCCCCAGGGCAAATATGGGAACTTGTTAAGGTACTGTAATTTGGCCTCAACAAATGATAAAATATGCACCATGTAAATTTTTCAGCACCTTCAGGGTAGTCCCTGCGTTGCCCACTTGCCAACAGAACCTCGGTAACTGCTCGGGGCAGAACTTCATCTCCATATGTGATTCACGTTCGTAATTTATTCAGTTTACAAATATACTACAACGTGCGTCCATGATCATCACAAGCAGTGAAACACGGCCAAAAGTGGGCCTAAAGGTAAAGTGAAAACACAAAGCGTTGGAAAGTTAACTGTTCAACTTTCTGATTTCACTTCCCTCAGCCAGGTTGTGCACTCTGGCTGCGCCTCGCTCTAATTTTAACTTTGCATTATTATTCCAGCGGCACAGATAGCCCGGCGGTAATGGCGCGAAGAAAAAGGAATGTGGATATTATCGTGAGACCGTAAAACATTCGTCTCCCTGTAGAATCCACGCAGATCGATATCAGGCAGATGTGCAGCGAGAATCCCGTGACCCGCCGACATTCAGCTGCTCACTCAGAGCTCCGGCTGACAAGCGGAGGAGGCGGAGTGGTTGGAAATGTTGGTTTTAAATGGGCCTGGGAGCACATTAAGCGCAGGAACACGGCAAATATTTTAACATTTCGGACCAAATAATGGTTCCGCTGACAAACGGTTATACTGAATAAATGAATATACCGAGCTTTAACGCCGTCATTTCAGATAACAAAAGGCAGCGTGGCGAGTTCTCCTGGTTCCTTTCAGCTCTCAGAATAAAGAGATGAGTCAGTGAATAGACACTCAATGGCTAACCAGCGAGAAGCGATTATTTTACAGCAAGAGGGAAATATGTAGTCCCTACATAAAGGGACCGTCTCCAAGTGTCGCCCATGCATATCAAAGCCCTCCTTTCTGTGATGTTCGGCTACTGATCTTAGCTGTTGACTTGGTTTGCTGCAACTACAGACAGCACAAGGGGCAAATTGGATCTATCATGTATTCTGCACGGCAACTGAGGTCTCTGCAGGCAATAGCAGTTTAGTACTTAATTTGCCCTGGACTATACTGCAGATACTGTGAAGTTCAAGGAAAACCTCCGAAAGGGGACAAAACAGTCTATCTCATCCAAACTCATTTCATCACATTAACGTGTTTATTCCAAGAGTTAAAACTTGTCATCGGCAAAAAGCTTTTTCATACATCTCTCTAACTTTAGCAGCTGCTGAGTGGGGAGGAGAAGAGATAACGGGAGGAAACATGAAGGGAATAAGAAAAATTGGAAGGAAGCGAGAAGAGGACAATGATTTAGTGGGACGGGAGTGAAAAATGAGAAGAAATCTAAGAAGGAGATGGAGGGGGAAAAAGCAATACAACTAGTATGAAAAGGGAAGAAGTGATATGATGGGGAGTAGCATTAAAAAGGAGTAAGGTGAGAGTTATAGGAGGAGGAGACGGCGGCGTGGGAAAATGTGGCGGGGCGTAGATTAGAAAGGCCATTAAGTGGGATGTGTTACATACAGTAGATGGAAAAACCAACTGCTAAAAATACACCGAGGGGGGTTCTAAATGCATTCTGTACAAGCCGGGATGCTTGAATGCAAACATTTGCCAGAAAAATCACGACATCCAGTTCAAACGTTCCCCCTTCTCTTCCCTCTCGAAGCGATCGTGTATCTCTTTGGTGAGCGGTGATTAGATCAGTGGAGTCTGTTGGACCGTCTGTAGATGCGTACCGTGGGTGTGAGCGAGGGAGAAAGGGAGAATATCAGAAAACATATTGAAGAGGAAAAGGCTCGAGAGCAACATGAATGCCTTTCTGAGCAGCTTAGTGATGTGCCAGAGGAGAGAGCTCACAGAAAATAATTGGATTTCATTTTTAGTCCGCGGGCGAATAAAAAAAAAAAAAAAAAAAATAGATGCATGCTGTCTCCTCGGAGCTCCTGCTACAGGTATCATAAAGGCCGAGAAATGTCTGAGATCCCTCAAAGAATTCACGCGGTACACAAAAAGATGTCGAACTCTTGGTTTTGATGACACAGGGAATCCCTTAGTGCCTCATAAAAAATGCCCTTTCACTTTCTGCGGCGTTATAGATAGGTCGGGGGAGGATGCAGCGCGCACACTCGATACCGAAAGCTGCATCAGGAAAAGCTCCACCGGTTCGGTCTCTTTCTCGTCACATCCGCATGTCCTCAGTTCTGATGACTAATTGATCACAATAAGCTGCTATTTGCTCATCAACACCTGTTGTTTACTCTGAGAGGGAGGCCATGTGGCGGCGCAGCGGATTAGTATTCCTGCCTTACCTGCCGTAATGACACCTGCGATGATGACAAGACGGTCGGTCGCTTCAACGTCTGCATCAGGAAAGAGGTTCGTTTCTGCTCAAAGCGTCCATCTCGTATTTATTTACCTAACAAGGCCCCCGGTATGTATGTATGTTTTTTATTTTTGCAATATCTATAGTGGAGACGAACGTTCATTTGTAATGAGATGGGAAAATAAGTGTGACATGATTGCAGACATGCTCTTTAACTGCTCGTCAGTTTTTCAATTTTCTCTCCGCTGCTTTAAGGTTGGAAAAAAAAACTATTTTATGCCTGGCTGTCGGACAGAATTACATACAATGCTTCATACTCTGTGCCAGCTCTTTATAGACTTCACAGTAAACCTGCAAGGAGGCAAGTGGACACAACAACAAACAGAAACAAGTGAGTGGACTGAGAGACGAGTTGCTGTCGAGTCAGAGGCAAATGCAACGCAGAAGAAAACAGCAGTAGACACTCACAAGTCATCTTTTTAGAAACAATTTTCCAAAATAAAAGCACCTGGATTGAGTGTTAATATGACCATGATTCATGCAGGTTAGTCTTATCAGTGGCGGGCCGTGCATTTTACTCCTAGGCCTTCAGTGGCGTCCTACCTGAACCAAACCACCTCTTAAAGTCGTTGTTATGACGTCATGGCTATAGAAACCATCAGTATTATGCAGAAAGGCAGCATAACAGGTATCTCATATGGCGAGAATGAATGCCATCACTAAAGCAAGAAACCCATTAAAACATTTCAACACGTCTCCTTTCAGCCACAGCAGGAGCATCAGTATCAACCCAATAAAATGACAACGACATACAATAAACTCACCAACTTCGCCAAATAGAAGCAAAGGCCCTAAAGGTCCGGCAGGCTGACGTCACCAGGGTTCAGAAGAGCGTCTGCGTCCTCTCTACGGCCTGCTTGAAGCAAAGCTGCAGCTCATCACACACGCCGACTTCCAGGAGAAAGACTCAGATCTCCATCCTGCAGGAACTTGACGTGGAAGTTTATTTTTGATTATTTGAACACAAACTCCATCCTCCTTTCTCTCCTCATGATGAGTTCAGTCACTCTGTTGAGCAGCTAATCCGTGCGTTTCACTTCCAACAATAAGTCCTCTTCTATCTCCATGGAGGCTGAAAGTCAGGTCTGTCCAGTCGTGTTTCGAGGGCCGCAATACTGCATGTTTTAGATGTTTCCTTCTTCCAACACACCTGATTCAAATGATCAGGATCATTATCAGGCTTCTGCAGAGCTTGATGATGAGAAGATCATTTGAATCAGGTGTGTTGGAAGAGGGGAAACATCTAAAACATGCAGGATTGCGGCCCTCGAGGACTAGGATTCGACACCCGTGGGTTAAAGCAACAGTTTCATTGCGAAGCATTTGAAGCTGGCAACACATGATGGCTGAAATATGATTGGGTAAAAGCTCTGATATAAACATACACTGCTAGAAGCACCACAGCCCACAGACACGAAATGAAGAAAATAGACAACTGGGAATCATGTTAAAAGAATAATGGGAAAATATGACAACGTAAGTCAGTGATTCTGATAGAGTTTAGGCCAGCAGAGAAGGCTTTAGTCCTACACACAAGGGCTGAGCAAAATATATTTTTTAAAAGCAACAACAGTCTAAACCTGACACTTAACCCAAGGGTTTTATAAACCACACTGTGATTCCTGAAGGGCTACATATATCCTTGAGTCAAATGTTAAGCTAATATTTAATCCTGAAGGCGACGGGACTATTCCTTTTTCGGTTCTCAAAAATCCTCTCATCCAAGAGGCTTCTTCGGTTGTTCCCGACTACCGGTGAATCCCAGATATAAAAACTGTCACCACCCCCCTCCCACAACTCACATCACCGCCCTGAACACTCGCAAACCTCAGGGAAGACTCAAGGTGCTCGTGGTGTTGAAACTTTCTGGGAAGTGACTGATAAGTGGTGAAGTGGCAAAAAATAATGATAATAATTGGGTTTTTCTTTTTAATTTTCCCATTGTTTTACCACCTGGCGAGTGTGGGAGCAGCGTGTCAGACTCGCAGCCTTGTTTTCGGTTCATTGAATTTATTAAAAAAACCAACTAAACACAGCTGCTTCAGTGTTTTATTTTTTTAACTGTAGCACTGCAGATGCTGCTGAGGTGGTGTTTGTTGCCGTCTCCCCACCAACATGCAGATCTATCGACTATACAACTAAACTTAAACGTTTCACATCAATCTCCTCTCAAGCAATCTGTCTTTCCATGACCTCGATGATTAAGAGTCTACAGACATTTTTTTGCTTGATATTTAAAGCGTTCTGGATATCTGGTATTTAGTCATAATATCATACAGTTTCTCCGGCATGCTAAACACACTCCACACGCCGCTCCACACTCGAACACGCATGAAATGTCACTTGTTACCGTGAGTAGATTTTTAATATTCATTGAAAGCCATTTGGGCGACACTCGAAAAAAAAAACTTGTCCTTTGCTTTTTCCCCCGGAGTCGCGGGGGTTAGGAGCGTGTATTTGAAGCCCTTAATAATGTTTCTTTGCTTCGCCGTGTTTCAGATCTCTGTCTTCAAGCAAGTCCACCTGTAGATACAAAATGGCACGTCATGAATATTAATGTAAAATGTCCAATAAACATTAATGAGGCAGTGGAAAGAAGAAAAAAAAAGCCCTGCTGATGAAAATACCCACTCTCTTAAAGAGCCTATTTTGCGGTGTGCAGCTGAAGAAAAATAGCTTGTTAGAGTTATAGGACATAAAGTGGCCATCTAGGGACACAGACATTTTTACAGTCTATTAATCTATGAATAATTAAAAGCTCTCAGTTTTCCCAGAGGAGATTACAGCACTTTGTCTTTCAATACAGTAACTTGTTTAGCGGTGTCCAAGTGCAGCACACTGCAGCCTCTATTGTCAGGAGGCTCCGAGCCCCCTAAAAAAACCAACACCTGCACTACATTTTTACAAATAGGTCAGAAAAGAGGCTGCGACGCTCCCGCTATTGGTTTTGTTTAATTGGAAGCGACAAAAAAAAAATGCAACTTTTTCTTTTCGCTTGTTATTTTTATTTCAAAGTGACAAGAGATGACTTTCCTGTTCCATTTTACCGCAGATAAGATTTTTATTTTTCATCATCTTTTACACGGGAAAGTATTAAAATCATTTGTCATTATTCTGTCACCATTGTAATGCAACAGGATTGAGGATACACAGATTTTTTTTTTTTTCTCTCTCCAGTTTTCTGAGCAGTGGAAGAGATGTCCAAACAGCAGCTGTTATTGCTGCTTTGCTTTGCTTTGAGATTTCAAATGCTCGCTCTCAGAGCCGGTGACAGTAAACAATGCTCCGGCGTGCAGATGACAAAAACAAATAGTTTCCAATCTCATCAAAGGCCAAGCGAATTGAGGTGGATTTAGAGCCAAGCTGCCACCGTGCGTCGAGTGTGTCGCAGATAAAAATATATTTCTTCCACGTTTAATGGTTATTCTAATGTTATTCGACTCTGCTGGTTCAAATATGGGTGCGATGCCGTTAATCCCAATCAGTATGTTGATGTCAGTGATGGAATTCGGTTCAAATCAACTGACAATGTAGATTTTAAAAAAACACGTCTCGGATGGAAATTAAAGAGCACGTTCTCGTAAAAGGGAGGTTTGAAGGATATGCTGATGTGGCTCATCGGGAGGGCGTTTCAAACTGAGGGGAAGCACAGGCCTTTCATTGTTATCAGCAAAAAAAAATTCTCAAATTGATTCTAGAACTCACGGGGAGAACGAGAAGGGAGGAATCTGTGGGTGTAGTAAGTGTCCTGTCTCCTGTAATTAGATAAAAAGCCTCTCAGCAGCAGCAGCATTCTGGATGAGCTGGAGGCGGCTGATTGACTCGTGGAAGCCCAAAATAAAAAGGAATTGTATTGGTCCAAATGAGATTGTTTGAAGGTGGGTGATTGTCAAAAAGATGGTTAAAAAACATAAATAAATAAAAAAAAGAGCAGCTTCATTTTTCTGAAGAAGAAAATTCTAGTCATGTGAATTTTAATGTAAAATTTTCCAACTCAAGTCTGAGAACTGAAAAAAGGAGGCTGGTTTCTCAGATTTATCTTTTTTTTCTTGTTCTAGGATTGTTAATCAAAAATGAATCTTTCAGCCGTGGTTTAGAATAATTAGAGATTTAGTCCTCGATATGTCTGATCTCCTCAAAGAGATTTAATGATGTGATGATGACTGTATACCACAAAGCAACAGAGACTTCTAAACTGACTTTCTTTCATCTGTTTCTTTAATATCACTGGTTTCCGGTGATTGTGAAGAAGTGTAAGCAACGCTCTGTTTAGCAGTCATTCTAGTAACTCTACTATGTAGGACTTTACTGTATCGCAGTAAACATCAGTGTTGCAACAGAAAACTACACATGAAGCAGGATTTGATCTGTATCACTCACTGATGCCCTTCAGTGGTGGGAACTGCATGACGGAGATGCTCCTCCTATTTCACATTACAAGTCTGGTTGCTCAACTTATTGCTCAGATCCAATCTGATTTTTTTTTTTGTTTGGAATTTCACAATATTTTATTTAAAAGTGGCAGGTATCAAGTTCCAGCTTTAACTACTCGCAGTCAACAACAAGACCGCACACTGTTGTCCGGAAGTAGAGGGTGTTGAAGTCAACGTTTACAACCTCATTTATAAACTGATGACACACAGCTAAAGCGAGCAAATGTGTGAGGAGTGTCACTCCAAATACGTATGAGGTCTAAAGGCTGATTCTTGCTTTTCATTCACCCAAAGCTTGTGACTCTGCAGACTGTCCACACTACAAGCATGTCGACTGCACATGTACTAAAAAAACAAGTGATGCTCAAAACAAAAATTAGATGTAAGGAGAGAATTCATCTTTAACAGAGTAAAGCCCACTACTCTCAGCATTTTCAGTCATCCCAGACGAAAGATAACAATTGTAAGGGAATCATGGCGATATCTTTGGTCTTGGCTCTAAGTTGGTGGTCGTACATCGACTGTGAGACAGGTTCAAGGACGGCCGTTGTCATAGTCTTGCAACCAAAGAGATGAAATGACAGTGTGATCATCTCACAGTGAGACTGCTGCATCAACTACATAACAAATAGAAACACAGAACGAAATGACCTACTGATCAGCGCAACACTGGCGTTGAATGCTTGTAGATGCTAACAAGTACTTCAAGCTCCCTTTGCAAAATTGGCATCCCATGTTGGCCTCTCTTTCTGAGCCACGACCGTGTCCATATTCTTGTCCTTCTCCTTTTTTTGGGATTTCTCTCCAAACACATAAATGCCACGAGGGCGAGGGCTCCGTTTATGCTTCGCTAGTTTCATTTTCGTGGATGATTGGCGCACGCTTTTATTCTTGTGCATCCACGTCAACTCACGTACATCGTAGGCTACGATTCAGCTTGCACTTTCATTGTGCAATCTGCACACAGCAAACTTCATGTCGTGCCCAAAGTTTATTCGATTCATGTCGCACAGTGTAGCTAGCTGTGAACTTATAAGACTGTTAAGATCGCACAGTTTGTAGGCGGCGTAAAAGTAGTATTCCCTGCTAGAGTTTTGGACTTGTTTTAATTTGTACATGCTATCCATCAACAGAGGCCAAGACACGATGGGACGTTGTAAATTCTCAAGAAGTCCTGTGCTATGTCTGTCCACTATGTTCCCTACACCTTATGATTAATCGCTGACAGGATGCTACAGCCCAATCTGTACAACACAAGGGGGGATGCAGAGTTTGCATAGCAGCAGGTCAAGACGATGAACACCACAGCACAGTTATATTTACAAAGACGCTCCTATACCAAGTGTCAACGTGTACCTCAGGCATGGCTGAACTTTTTTAGAAACCATTCTCCCTCTGCTATCAGTGAGCGGTAAAGAAGCAACATTTAACCATAGCAAGACTGAATATTTTCCATTTTGCAGCTTAGTCGTGATCTTACCATCTTAAAACACTCTGCTGAAGCCTGGTTCGCGGAACAGCAGCTTGTTCTCCCGGCTCTTGCCTCCTTCAGGATCGGGCTCTTGCTCATATCTCTGGTCTTACATCTCCAGGTGCAGCCATTACTCACTGTAAATAAGGAAATTTGCATTATTCATTCGGTAGTATTCCAATTGGCTGGAGGTGAACCTGGGGCCACACTCGCAGCCTATTGGAATAGGTGTCACCATGAATAATGCAGATTTTATGTAAATAGCTTCCAAAAGAGCTGGAGGACAGAGCGGCTGTGAGGAGAGATGGATTCAGAGGAACCTTAACAACTTTTGGTGAAATAAAATGTCACAAATCTGTTTAAAATAGTAGATCTGGAAATTAGTCAGCAGGGCCACAATATGAGATCTTAAAAACAAAAACAAAGAAAGCAGACTATGCAGGAGAGCTGGGAACCCATCCCTCGACTAAAATCCCCATAATTTGCCAGATAAGCAAGATAAACAAGTTTTATTAATTATAAATGCGAAGAGGCAGAGAAGTCATTTGGGACACAATAATAAAACACATACAGAGACCTCGTCTACGGATGACTGCTGAATTCTCAAAACAGGAGAACAGGTGCAAGTAATAACATTAAAATTGTTCTTTTCCATTCAGGTGTGCCAAAAGTGGTGAGCCAGCATGAACAATAGCAGTATATATATTTGTTATTGCCACACATAAATAGAATTCTAATGTGCCTGAGATGTTAAAATGTCAGTAAGGTACGGTTGTAACAGACAGCTTCGTTCTCGTTCAGCTCTTCCAAAAGGTGGTCCGTGTCAACCCAAAGGAGGTAGAAATACTGGATTTGTTTAACCGCCATGTCCTGGAGACCTTTTCAAAAGCATTGTTTATCACCGTGACACTACACGACCCAGTTTTATTTTAAAAAGTGTTTATAGGAACAATTCTGACCCGATGGCAAGCTGTTATAAATGAAGATTACTTTTCTTTTGTCAGAATACAGTGAAATTATTATATTTTTTGCTTTATATCTGTGATTGCTGTTGTTATTTAGATTGAATTTTTTGTAAGTGTAGTTTTATAACAATTTGCTGTACATTCAGTTTCATTTTTATTTTTTTAAGTACTACCTATGAAAGGGTTATGAAACTTGACTAATTCTCTACATTTTGGGATTAGAGGAATATATATTTATTGGGCCTTTGCCTTTAATTTAGAGCAGTAGAGAGAGACAGGAAAGGGGGAGAAGAATGGGGGGAGACCTGCAGCAAAGGGTCGTGAGCGGGAGTCGAACCCACGACCGCTGCATCAGGGACCCCTGTTTATGGGTCGCCCGCTCAACAGGTGAGCCATAGGGGCGCCCAAATATACCATTATTAATACAGTGGATTAATACAGTGGAGTAATGGAGGCCTTAGCAGTGCATATTAGTGCCATAGACTATAAAAGATGGACGTAGCTACCGTGACGTCACCCGTTGGTTTCTGCACTGAGAAAATGAAGCCAGGGTTTTGCTACTTCCTGGTTGACATCTT